CAATAATAATGCTTTACATTTGGCTATGTTGTCTTTGCCTGCTGGCCTCTTCTATAAGTACCAGCATTTGTTCCTTTGGGGGACTACCCTCCCCCCATTGTTGGTCCTTGAGATTTAGGTGGGGCTAATTCTACCCCACAGCTCCAAAAGAGGGCCTAAACTCTTTTGATTTCCCTCGACCACAAGTGACTACTTGGTTCAGGTTGGACCAGTGAGAGCCAGCCTAATTCGATGGAGTTTGTAATGCCTGTCACCAGAGTTCTGATTAATACAAATGTAGCATTTTGCACTGAAAGCTTAAGGGGCTTCTTAAGGTCCCAGTAGGTCATTCACATAGTCAATTCCTCCTGATGACTACCCACATTCTAGGTGGGGAACACAGATACTGACAGGTCATTTCAGTGATAAATGAACACCATTCATTCGCTGGCTGGGTGGCTTAGTTGGAGCATCGTCCCATACACCAAAGGGTTGAGGGGTCGTTCCCTGGTCAGGGCACGTGCCTAGGATGCAGGTTCAATGCCAGGTCAGGGCACTTATGGGAGGCAACCAATCGTTCTTCTCTCACATCAATGTTTCTCTCTAAAATCAATAAACATATCCGCCAGTGAGGATTTTTTTAAAAGCATTCATTAATTAAACAAATATTCATTGAGATGATGAATACTACTAGATGCCTAGATCTGTTTACGTGATGGAGTTATGAATGAAACAGAAAGATGTACATACGGAACCGCACAGGAGGGGCATGTAGCCTGCCCTGGATGTGTGGATAAGAGTGTCCAGGAAGTAAGAATCCTAAAACATCAATATCAAAGAACCTATGCACCACAATGTTCATAGCAGCACAATTTACAATAGCCAAGAGTTGGAAGCAACCTAGGTGCCCATCAGTAAATGAATGGATCCAAAAATTGTGGTACATATACACAATGGAATTCTATGCTGCAGAGAGAAAGAAGGAGCTACTACCCTTTGCAACACCATGGATGGAACTGGAAAGCATTATGCTGAGTGAAATAAGCCAGGGGTTGAAAGACAAATACCATATGATCTCACCTTTAACAGGAAGCTAAACAACAAAACAAACAAGCAAGCAGAAAAAAAAACAAAAACAAAAAACAAAGACACTGAAATAGAGAACAAGGGGATAGTGACCAGAGGGGAGGAGGAAGGGAAGTTAAGGGGAAAATGGGGGAGGGATTTGGAGGAACAAATAGGAAGTACACAGGGACGAGAACTAAGGGGGGTGGAAATGGGAGGGAGGTGGGGAGCAAGGGGTGGGGGAGGCTGGGATGGGAAAAATAGACAAAAAACTGTACTTGAAAAATAACTAAATAAAATTTAAAAAAATAAAATAAAAGATGTTAATTAAAAATGAAAAAAAAAAAGAGTGTCCAGGAAGGCTTCCCAGAGGGAGGGACTGGCTTCCCGGTGCCTGCGACTCTGTTCTCCTTTACTTTTCTTTCCCATTCTCACAGCCACTGTCTTAGTTGAGGCCCTTTCAGTTTCATATCTAAATCACAGCGATAGCTTTCCCACTGGACTTATTTCTACTCTTATCCTGGTCCTTAATACCCAATGCACCCTTTATTAGTGACAGAATGATTTTTATTTAAGACGTTTTCCTGAAGTGACGTACATGCGTAGGCATGTAGCTTGATGACGTTCCCCAGCAAACACACTCATTAATCTAGGGCCTGTGTCCACACACACGGCCAGCGCACCTGAAGCCTGCCTCATCTCCCCTTCCACGTACTCACCTCCCCTCACAAATAAGCTTTTAAAAATTCTGACTTCTATCTTGCTCCCTTGGTTTATTAAAACCTTTAAAAGAGTTTCCCCAGCCTTCAGGATAAAACTGCATCTCCAGAGCCAAACTAAACCCTGGTAATCCCTAACCTGCCATCCCAGTTCTCTGCTTGGCCTTTGCGTGTGCTGCCCCTTTTGTTAGGACTACACATCTCAGCGCTTTCCCTCCCCATATCGATAGTTTTTGATTATTCCCGGAGCCACTTTCTCAAAGCCTTCCATGATCCCTTCCCTCTTTCCGGTCTGTTTCTTTTTCATCCTATTTCCCTCAGTTGGTTAAAGGAATAAATGAGAACACCTGGCATTATTCCTTTCCCTTAATGCCTTTCCTCCCCCACCTCTCCATTCTTCTTAAGTAAACACTAACCATCCGTTGCCCTGTGAATAAATCAATGCCTATGACCTTTAATCAGTACAGTCCTGTGCTGCTTGACAATGGAGATGTGTTCCGAGTAACGTGTACTTACGCAATTTTGTCCTTGTGAGAGCACTGTAAAAGTGTACTTACACAAACCTAGCTACCACTCTCTATTGATCTAGGCTACAAGCCTGTACAGCACGTTACTGTACGAAACAACACAAGAGAAAGTCGGAGGGAGACAATGCACTCACACAGGGTAAAGATGAGATGGGTGAGACTGTTACCAGTGTAACATGGCATACTATTTTACAACAAACTTGTTTAATAAAAAGAAATAGTACCCTCAAAAATAATGATGAAAAGTATTGTATGGCATTGCCTCAGCCACACCAGCCACCAGGAGGAAAGCGGGCCCACATCCAGCACCATGGCACAACTGGGGTTGGTTGGGAACCGCCCTGCCTGGTTTCAGGAGCTGTCACCCCCCCCCCCCATGGCTAAGGCTGAGTGACTGACCTTTGGACCATAAGCCACTAAGGAGACAAAGCTTATCTCCATGGCAGGAGTGCTGCTTCTGTTCCTTCTCCATAACTGGCCTCCATTGCTTGATCAGTTAGCCAATGACAGGTAAGATTCCCCAAGGGGGGAACCACCTAAGACAGGCATGATCATGTGGAGGGCCCAGGGAAGGACTTGGGGGGCTATGGGGAAAGGGGGTGATGGACCCTCCCCCCTCGGCTTTGACAAAGCCTGACTCCCCTGAGTCTTCGAGAAGTATCTGAGAATTCCTTGGCTATTTGCCTCCTCTGCCTGAATTAAGCCTGAAACAATGACAGAGGGTGGTGCAGCCCTGTGCTGGAAAGGGCGGGCTCTCCGGGTGATTGGGCCTGAAAAAGGATATGTAAAATCCTGTGAAGCCTGTTTTGCTAAGAATGCTCTTAGTTAAATGGTAATGGTCCGAGCAGGAAATGAATTTATTTCTCAAAGTTTTGTAGCCTTTTAGCTAATAGACCCTGACTCAGAAGAAGCCCTAATAGTTCTTCGTGTGCTATCTACTGTTTGATTCTTACTGCCTGACAGTGATTAATAAGTTGTACCCGTATTCCTGCACAAATTAAACCCAAGAAATGTCCTTCTGTGGTGCGTGACTATAGTTTGTAGAGAAGTCATGACTGGGTTCCACTGATCCAGCCATACCTTCCTGCCAGTTATCCCCTCCCCCACACCTCACACTAAGGTAATACTAAAGTAGGGACTGTTTGTGGTCTTGCACCCATCCAAGGTAAATGGACACAATGGAAATTGATGTTCATGAGATCTGAGCCACTCTGCAGGTAAAAGTTGGCTTAATTGGAATATCCAAAGGGCTTAAAGGAAAACTGGGTGTATGGGGAGGAACCAAACAAGCAGGTTAACATTTATCAAATGACTACCTATCATGCACTGGATGAAATGTTAGGCTCTATTTATGACATACTACTTAGCTAAAGTGAAGGAGAAACGTGCACAAATGTAAATTTTTGAATTGCATAAAAAGAAAGGCTAATATTCCTTTCCTTCATTTGGCTGAAAAAAGTTATTTGTGCATTTATACTTTTTAATAAAAAAATAACAGAATCACTGAAATTCCTGATTTCAATGATATATTGCTTAACAAGCTTGAAAACGATTCTATGAAATTTAAAGAAATAGAAACATTTTTAAAGGTGTTAGCATGTAGAAGAGTAACACTGGGCTGATAGGTACAGCCAGAGCACCTCACACTGTCCACCCAGCTCCCAAACCGTGACTGCAGGCCAGCAGGCAGTGCCACCTGAACCATTTTTAGAGAAGTGTTTACAATCTGGACTTGATTTTTAATGAAAAAGTTCACCAAAAAAATCCAAATGGCAACCCCAAGTGTATTTTCTGTATGCGTAACATCAAACATCTCTGGCAGGTTGGCCCCATTCCCAGAAAGTCTATTTCTCCCCTAACATCCTGTAACTGACATGGCACTGACAGGGGCAGGGGCGCCACCACTGATGCACGGCTGTGATCTACTCAAATGTTTTCTCGAAACTGCCTCCAGGTCAGCAGTCCATCCGCAGCCTATTTAGAATTTCACTGAATAAACGTTTAATAAAGTAAGCAAAAGTCAAACTCAGAAGTCCAAATTCAAGCCATAGGGGAAGGAATTCCTCAGGTGACTCTAGAAGTAGATGTCTCCATTGTTTCCTCATTGTTAAACCTGGAGAGGCCAGTATGATATTTATCCTTTATATCCTAAACTTTCGTGCTACAATATTTCTTTTGGTTATCAGTTTATAGTCCAGAGTATTTTGCATAATCTTAAATGCCGAAATTGTTTCTTAAATGCTTAGTAAAATTACTGGTGATGTTCATTCATTCTCCTCACTGAATAGACAGGAAGCTCCCTGAGGACAAAGGCTCAAGGGCCTTAACTTTTAATGAGCCCTCTCAGCCCCAGTCCAAAGACTGCAGTAAGCCGAGGCCGTCAGAAGTGTTCTATGCTGGAAGACAGGAAAAACCGTGTTTCCATTGCTCAGAAAAAGTTTTCTTATTCTCTGCTGGGACAGTGGACAAATGGAATGTTCTGATGGCAGTAGGGTTTAACTATTCACCTTAAAATTTGGTTTCACGAAATGCAAAACCTCTGTGGTGTGCGGAGGGAAGATGATTGCACAACTGGCCTGTCTAGGTAGGTCACAAGTTCTGGGTCACAAGGTCTAGGTCACTGACGACTCTTGGGACCACTCTCTCCTGCAGGCGTCGCTGGCCATTGCAGGGCCGTGAGAGAGGAAGTGAATTCTGATCTTCCGTTCGGCCAGGAAGCTGGGCACCGCAGGCCTCGCACCCGCAACGGCTTTCGGAGGGTGTCGCGTGCCCTGCGCCTATTCACTCGAAGGCGCGCGCCCCAGCCACAGCGATTGAGCCCCCGGACTTATCTGGGAAGGAGTTCCGGACAGGCCCAGGCGCTAGGCTAGAACGGTGGGCTCGCCCAGAAAGGCCTGGGATCCCCTGAGAAGGGATACGGAGTGACCGGTGATGAGCCTATGGGGCGCAGCTGACAGTCCGGGAGCAATGGAGGGGGAGGGGAGTGAGCGGAGACGCAGCAGGAAACGCCCGGGTCTTGGCCAGCCGGGTCAGTCTGGGGGCGCTATGGAGGGGAAGGACGAGGCGGTGCCTGGCTGGGGTGCTGGGCTTGCTCACCTTGCGCTGGCGGCACGCCCCGCGGGGAGTTGCGGGGAGGGGAGCAGAATCCGCGGGCCTTGGGATTCCGGGACCGCCCTCTCCGGATCCAGGATCAGCGGCGAGCGGCAACGACGGCTAGAACCACAGTGGCAGTATGAGAGCTGCCGCCACAGCTCCACGCTTGCGGACTTGCGGCCAGCGGCGGCTGCTCTGTCTGCGCGCTCCATGGGGGCGCCGTGGGGCCCGGTGGCCTGCCGGCGGCGCGGAGCGTGGGGTCTGCAGCGGTCCACTTCAGCGCTGGCAGCTGCAGGCCTGCTGTGCACAGTCCTGGTTGCTTACGCCTCCTGGGGGCAGCTCCCGCCGCTGCCCTGGACCTCTGACGCCCCTCCGCAGCCAGTGGGCGTGCTGCTGTGGTGGGAGCCCTTCACTGGGCGCAGTAGGGACACAAGGCCGCCCCCCGACTGCTGGGTGCGCTTCAACATCAGCGGCTGCCGCCTGCTCACCGACCGTACCACTTTTGGAGAAGCTCAGGCTGTGCTTTTTCACCACCGAGACCTTGTGAAGGAACCCCTGGACTGGCCTCCGCCCTGGGGCGTCTGGGTGCGCTCAGCAGAGGAGCTGGAGCTGCGGGTGTTGGACGCGGAGATCTCCAAAGCCCTGACCGCCTCGGGCCCCAGGCCTCCGGGACAGCGCTGGGTGTGGATGAACTTTGAGTCGCCCTCCCACTCCCCGGGGTTACGAAGCCTGGCAGGTAACCTGTTCAACTGGACACTCTCCTACCGGGCCGACTCAGATGTCTTTGTGCCTTATGGCTATCTCTACCCCAGGACCCATCCCAGCGACCAGCCACAAGGCCTGGTACCCCCGCTGGCTCGGAAACGGGGGCTGGTGGCCTGGGTGGTGAGTAACTGGGATGAGCGCCAGGCCCGGGTTCGCTACTACCACCAGCTGAGGCAGCACGTGTCGGTGGACGTGTTTGGCAAGGGCGGGAACCGGAGGCCGGTGCCTGACATTGGCCTTTTGCACACCGTGGCCCGCTACAAGTTTTATCTGGCCTTCGAGAACTCGCAGCATCAGGATTATATCACTGAGAAGCTCTGGCGCAACGCGTTCCTAGCTGGGACCGTACCAGTGGTGCTGGGCCCCAACCGTGCCAATTACGAGCGCTTCGTGCCCCGAGGTGCCTTCATCCATGTGGACGACTTCCCTAATGCCTCTTCCCTAGCTGCCTACCTGCTCTTCCTCGACCGGAATCCAGCAGTCTACCGTCGTTACTTCATTTGGCGCCGGAGCTATGCCGTGCACATCACCTCTTTCTGGGACGAGCCTTGGTGCCGGGCCTGCCAGGCTGTGCAGAGGGCCTTGGACCGACCCCAGAGCATACGCAACTTGGCTCGCTGGTTTGAGCGGTGAAGCCATACGCTGGGTTACACCCAGGGGGGTCAAGTCATCAGCGTTTAGATCCTCTGCCGTGCATCGCCTTGAATGACAAATCATGAAACTAAGTTTTACTAACGGGATTAAAGGTGATTTGCCAATTTAATTCAGCACAGAGACTGGGCGGGTAAGATCCAGTTCCGTTCTTAATATTGTTTGGGCAACTAGCAGTTGGGCTCCCTCTTCAGGAGTGAAGGGGGCCCTTCCCGTCATTATAACTAACCAGTGTAGAGATGAAGAAATTACTTGACTACAAGAAGCCATTGAGTCAGTTGGTCTGAATTTCCTCATCTGCCACAAGTCATATTTGTGGCCTGTGCTGAGTACAATGTCATACACACTGTTCCTCCTTTCACATTTCATTGGGCCCATGGGCAGCAAACCCCTAGTTTTAGAAAGAGCCTTGCTATGAATGGGACTGTGGCCGCAAGAGGTTCTTTCTCCTTCTCAGCTGCTAACAAAGGTGAGGAGGTCCTCCAAGAATCCATTGGCCATAATATTGGTTCGCCTGCTCCATCAATGGAAACAAGATGCTGGATTGTCCCTGGAGAAGAGTTAAGATGAGTGTATGTGTATCTCTCTGCACAAATGTATTCCTGAGAAGCTGCTTTTCAATCACACCCTGAATCCACTGCCCTAGGGGTAGTTCAGTATTTAATGAAACCTCATGGAGACTCCCTTTACGATGTGAATAATCATACCCTAACTAATTTCTTGTCTATTTTTTCTATAACCTGGATTTTTAAAAACACATATTAAAATTACAGATGTGAAAATTAATCAGAAGCAAACTTCTCCCCTCTTGCCAGAAACACAGACTCTGTTTATAGATAAAATAGGAAGCCACAGTGCCACTTTCCACAAAATTACTTATTTTGTGTCTACTGGACATGAAATTTAAACTGGAATATCCTCTAGGGATGCTGGCATTACTTGTCTGCAGAACAATGAAAGAGATTGTACTGTATTATGGAATCATCACTGTGTCTGTTAATAGCAGTGTTTGTTTCTATCTGTCAGTTTGTTGTTAAATGTTTAGTTGCTAGGGAATAGAACTAAATTAGTGTCTGTGATGTTCCTTTGTCTTTGGTTAGAGGTTAAACCTGCAATTCTTCCTGGGGCCAGCAGGTTTCCCTCCTTGTTTGCATAGTAGAACACAGAGCTGCACATTTCCAATGCTCTTGAGACTGTACCTGGGACCATTTGAAAATAGATGCATTGACTTTAACAGCGGTTTGAGCAGCATGTTCAATAGGTGTTACTGTGTGCCTACTCTGTGCCAAACAACTGGACTTGGGGTGCCACAGGAAAGACAAAAATATGTAAGGCAATGTCCCTCTCTTTGAAGCTCTTAAAGTCTACCACTGCCAATAAGTAATCAGTGAACTTTGGTACATTAACTGACAGAACCTATTTGTTTAAAGTGACTTTCTTAGTGATATAGATCATAAATGAATTATTAGAAAGCCAGTTGATTTACAGCCTGAAATAATAGTTTATATTTCTTTTTGATTTATTATAATAAAGATTCTCCATGACTAATTATTGTGGGTAGGGTCCAAGATTAATTAGGTTCACACAGGGTTCTGCTGCAAATAGTAATTTTGCATTTGACTACTACAATTAGCTGAATCATAGTTTTATTTCTGCATTTGTTGTAGACTCACTAAAAGCTCATTAAAATCCAGAAAGTGCTCCAATTCTCTTTATCCTTAAAAGGAAGAATTAAAGTCTGTGAATAAAATGTCCTTATTAAAATACTATAGCAGGGACAGAATTACAATGATAAAGTATCAGCCAGCCAATAAAGAAACAGGAAAAATTCTATCCTTAAAATGAGTATTTATGAGATATTGGCCAATGATCTTAGTTTTATTGAGAATCTACCTGGGGCAGTGAAAGAGAGTTTGGGTTTTGAAGGTAATCTGGCTTAGATTTGAATTCCAGCAGTGTGACTTCAGGCAAATTAGTAATGACCCTGAGCTTCAGTTCCCTTATCTGTGAAATGGGGGAGGAAAATACTTCAGAGCTCATTGTGAGCATTTCAGGAAACAAAATAGGTAAAGGTGGTCACTCAGTCCGTAAGGAAGAGATTTATTTATTTTTCCTTCTTTCCCTATAATGATCTCAGGGTGTGTTCATATCTATTTACATGTTAAAATGAAATTTTAAGGTATGTTATAAAATATATCCCACATAAACAGGGCCTCCTATCATGTATCTCAAATGAGTCCTTAAAGCTAAGCCTATTATTTCAAAAGTCATCATTGCAATTTAGGTTGAATTTGAATTTGCAGACTATGGACACACCTACACTTTGTTCAAAAAAAATGGTTTTGTCAAATAAATTTTAAAATTATCAGGAATTTTTAAGAAAAAGATTATAAGAGAAAGAACTGAATCTTGTAAGATTATTTCTATCCTGTGTCAAAGAAATTAAAAAGCAGTAAATAAGGGTATTAAATCTGTGATGACAGTACATGACAATGACATGTTGCAAACAACTCTGTGTGGCAGTATGAACTGGCTCCGGCACTTGTGCCACACGTGACAGCCTAACACGCTTTCATTTCCCCCTCAGCAGGTTTTCAGATTTTCTTATGTCATTGACTATGAAAAGCACAATCATCTCACAAACTGCTTTTGAATTGAGATTTGATGTAATCTGCCCAGAATTTTAGCTTGATTTTAAGACTCGGAAGTGAAATAGAATTCCAAGCAAAAAAAAATTGTTTGGTTTTGGTTAAGTTACATAGTTAAATAAGTAACTATTACTTTATTAATGTTCTCCTTAGTATTGTCTGTTTAAAACTAACCACATATTTTTCATATTCCTAATTGAGCAGGTTAAATTTTCACAAACATTGATACAAAATGCATATAAATGCATCATATAGATTTCAAAATGTCTTCTAGGGTTGTCGTGTCCTTCCTTTAACATATAAGCTTTTCTTTACACTTATTACAAGTTTAATATTTTTAGCACTTGATGACTCTAATTGCATGAGTGCCCCTGGAATGGTATTTGCATCAGGAAGACAATCTGACTGGCTTTCAGTACTCACAGGTGCTTCCAGTTTCCAAGTCCTTCCCTGGCAGTAATTTACAGGAGACAGCGTGGCCTCATGGAAAGAGATTGCAATTTGGAGTCAGAACCTGGATATGGGGTTCTGTCACACTCTCTGCCCCTGTGGCCTTATTAGGCACGGCCTAATTAAACTCTGAGTTTTAAGCTTCCTCCTTTATAATACATGAATGCCCCTACAAAACAAGGATTAAATGCAATGATGTGCACCAGGGAGCTGCATACATCGTAAAGTGCTGTACAGTTACAGAATGCTCTACATTTTCAAGGCTCTAGGCCAGAAAGTAAATATGTCAGATCTTGCAGGCCATACAGTCTCTGCTGCCACTACTCACCTAAGCTGTTGTAGTACAGAATCAGCCAGTGACAACACATAAACAAATTCAGTGCCTGGATTTGGCCTGAGTCATAGTTTGTCAACTCAGTTCTAGACTTTTAGAGGTATAAGGAATTTGAGAACCTATATGGTGGGGGTTTCTTAGGAGGGATTTAGAGATTGTAATTTAAAATTTTTAGAGGCAGATATCCCGGCAAGAGACCAGTCCTGCAAGATTTCTTAATTGTCTTATATTGGGCAAATTATTTAAGCTTTCTGTGTTTTGATATTCATCGCTAGTTGCAGGTAATCATATATGATTTATACAGGCATTGGGAGAATTAGAGAAGACACACTTAAAGTACTCTGTACAGTGTCTGGCATGTAGTAAGCACCTGGCAGATGTTAACTGTGGTATCACCAGTCCCGTTTTACAGAAGAAGGAGCTGAGGTCCACACCCATTGTAGGACTCACCTAGGGTTGCAGCAGTAGTGGCAGAAGCAGCCATGCTTGTGCAAGTCACAACTGCTTTGAGCCTCAGTCACTTGAACTGCAAAATGAGGGGGTTATACAAGGTCTTTTCTTGGGACCAACAGTTCCAGTTGCTATCGTTCTACTAACTGGTACCCTAAGGCTCTGAGAACCAATTCACCTTCTAATGTGCCTTCCTTGCAGCCTGTAAATGACTTACTGCACAGCAGTAAATTGCCGGAAAAGCAGGCACCAGAGAGGGAGATTCTGATTTAGTGTCGCATACTTTAGATATCAGGGAAGGGAGCCAAGTCCTTGGTGTTTAGTGCAGTGAATAATTGCATCGAATACATTTCAAGTCATTCTTGATTATGTCTCAGGGACTTTTATGTGACACGTTCTTATAACAAATCAATAATTTATGTATACATGTTCGGGTTATTTTGACAAAATAAAATAATGAGATGGAAACCAACTCTTTGTTTATAATGTGTATGCACAGGCATTAATGTGTTTCACCATGGCACACGGGGTTTTCTTGGTCATAGGGTTTTGTAAACTCATTGGTTCCAGGTTGGTAAGAGAAATGTGATGATTCATCTCCTCTGAGCCTCACCAGGTCCTACTCAGTTCATCCTCTTGTCTTTCTTGCTGGTGACTCATCTCCGAGAGCATAAATTATAGACTCTTTCTATGTCCCATTTACTAAGTGCCCTGATGTCCGCTCTGAACCGTCTCTAGCTTCTTTCCACTAACTGAAAAAAAAAATGCCATTTTTTAAAGAGGTGGAATAAAGCCTGGGAACGTTATCGTTGGTGGAAGCATCTTTCCTAACAGCTGGTGTTTCAAATTATTGAAAGGGGAATTGAAAATAAGAAATTGAAATATTTTCTCTGCTTTTCCTTCAATACACACACGCTGACATGCTCATTTCACTACAGATTTTGAAAAATGATAATGGCCAGCTGAGGGTAGAAGAGGAACAATAAATACAGAGGGTTCAGTAGCAAAGGAGTAAACACAAAAGCAGACTGTGAAGTAGAGCAGATGGTGACTATAGATGGGAAGTGAAGAGAAAAATGGAAAAAGGAAAGACATTGGGGGAAGTGCATAAGATGTGTTTGAAGAGAAAACAAGGTTAGAAAGAATGGAGAGGGGAGATACAGGTTCAGTGACAACCAAGGAGGTGGGAGAAAGGAGGAACATATGCACAGAGAACGAGGGAGCCGTGTAAAAGCCACCATTCAATGCCACTCTTCCAAAAAGAAACCTTTGTTCCAGCTTGAAACGCAGCATCTGTTGGTAAATGGAGAATGAAATCAAGACGTCCAAACTCACTGACAGGGAAAGTCAGGGACTTACCAAGGAATAAACTAACATTTCAGCAGAAGTCAAAAACTCTCTTGATTCATTACAACAGCTTCTTGAACTCCTATGAATGCTTCTTTTTTCACCTTGGAAAAATTACATTCATCGCAGTTTTTAAAAAATTCCCAGGCAGCATACTACAGCTGTACTAAATATCCACCCTTCGGGAGATGTGTTTGTTTTAGATGGCCAGAATCACCAGTTGACTCCGTGAAGAATAGTCAAAGAACTCAGTACACTTAATACACTTAATAGTCTCATGTGGAACCCTATTATAAAACTATTGCCAGTTAAGTTGTAAAGGGTTGGATTTTTTGAGATCTTTGAATGAATGTTTTTAGAAATAACTGAATCTTACCTAAATATACTAAAACATCATGCCCTATTTGAACAGGAGTGCTAAGAATTCAATCTGAATTATTTTTAAAAGGGAGAGAAGGGGACTATTCAACAACAAACACAAACATTGCTTCAGTGCCTTCTGTGGCCAGGACGAGGGTGCACCAGGACTTGGGGGAATAGGTAACACTCAAGTAAAGACTCTGCACTCAAAAAGTGTATGTTCTAGCGGGAGAAACAGCCTTGTTGACGGGTAATCCTACCATATTAGTGTTGCCTTAATAAGGTTCTGTATCATAGATGTACTAGATCATATGCGGAATCACAGAATTTCAGAGGAAAACAAAGCAGGCTCTCAGCAGAGCATCCAAGGAGTCAGAGGATTACATGTCAGGACTGAAACTCCTTTATCACAAACTAAGTCTTCTTTTTTTAAAAAAAATATTTTATTTATTTTTAGAGAGAGGGGGCAGGAAGGAGAAAGAGTGGGAGAGAAACATCAATGTGTGGTTGCCTCTCCTGTGTCCACTATTGGGGACCTGGCCTGCAACCCAGGCATATGCCCTGACTGGGACTTGAACCGGCGACCCTTTGCTTCACAGGCCCGTGCTCAATCCACTGAGCTACACCAGCCAGGGCAAAAACTAAGTCTTCTTCGTGTTCTTTCTGAAAGGTACAAGTGTGATACTCTCTGGTCTTAACACTTATTTACCTGACTATTTTCACTAATTCTTACTTGAGAACATTTTCATTGCTTTTTTGGAGAGAGTGGGAGAAAGAGAGAGAGAGGGAGACAGGCAGACAGACAGACAGACAGACCTCAGGACTGAACCCACGACCTGGATATATGCCCTGACAGGGGATCAAAACCACAAACTTTCGGTCTATGAGACAACACTCCAACCAACTGAGCCACACTGGCCAGAGTTTTCTTAGTGCACTTTTAAATGAGCATCTATTCATCATGCTCCATACACAATTGAACAGAAAATCCTCAGTAACTTAGATGCCATTTTCAGTTTCCAATTTTAAAAAATCCATTTTCTCTTTTCTTTTTATACTTTTCTATCTTATATTTATTCTTTCCACCAGTCTTAACATAAACTCCCCTTGAAGTACCCCCTACCGCCTCCACAAAAAGGAATGTCTTTACTCCTTATCTCTGCCTCATTCTATTTGAAAACACTTTGTCAGCAGTACTCTGGAATGACTAATACAATTCTTAACTTTTTTCATTGTTTTATAATAAAACCAAAAGTATTATGTAGCACTCTTGCAAATTATTCATACTCTGTTCCTTCTTGAAAGATTTATCAAGGCCCTTTATTGCCTAGAAATTCTGTAAGCATGTAGCATATACCACAAGCCACAATTATTTAGACATTACCTTTAGCCACCTGCCATTCTGCTTGAAATTTCATTTGCATTTTCTTGGAACTATGGTTATAATATACTGCTTTGTTTATTAAGTGTATTTGTCCAGGGCCTAGGCTCTAAGCAGTGAGGAAGTTTCACTTAGTAAGTAAGATTCAAGTTTATGTCTGTGTATTACAAAGTATCAGAATAGCGATTTTGTATGCTGCTTTCCTAATTGCCAAAGTTGCTGAGTCATTTGGAAAAGATGAATAAAGATTTGAAATGACATTTCTTTATGTAAAAGTATGAAATGATAGGATAATAGAAAGCAGAGAATGAAAAACGAAGGGGAATTTTCTCATGGTCTTCAAGCATCTTCAATCATCCAGTAGGTTCTTTGCCAAGTGCTGGGCCCTGATTCGTTCTGGGGATAAAGTAGCAAACACATAACTTTCAAGTCCTCATGGTGGAACTATATGGAAGAAACAGAAAATAAACAAGTAACCAAATAAATAAAATCATTTTCTCTAATATATAAGGACTCACGGTTCAGAATGATATCCAACGTCTTTTCTCTTTGCTGGAGCTCAAATAAGAGAAAATGGGTTTTGAACCCCAGGGTAGGAAAGCAATTCCTTGAGCAGGGAGAGGACCTGGAGGTTTCCCTCAGTAGGGTAGGGAGCAGAGAAATGGTCACCTGCACCGGATCTGCCCTCTGAACAGGCTGCTTTGCCATGTACATCGTCCCACTTCCCGATTGCCACACTCGTTGTGCATTAAGTTTTATGATCCTCAATTTATAGAATAACTAAGAGGCTGTGTTACTTGCTAAAGTTCACATAGCTCGTCACTGCAGGGCTAGCGCTGATTCTCTTAGAGTCCAAGGCTATTGCTGTCATCGTGCGCTACCTGAGTGCGGGTGGATGGAATACTGCCATTCTAAATCTTTCAACTTTGCATAGGATTTTTAGGTAGTTTCTTTTCCTAAAGTAAGAGAGAAGCCTACATGGTGGCTTTCAAACCTTTTTTGAGGATAAAATCTAGTTTTCAAACAGAAGTGTATGTCGAATCGAAATATAGGAAACGACTTAGAGCAGAGCAGCCCTGGCACTGTCAGAACTGCGCTCCCTGCTCCCCTCTCTCAGCCCCAGGGAAATCGCCGTCAGTGACTAAGCTCCACTGTGTCCTACAGACTTGCTCTTCGTCCAGTGAATATTACCATAGTGTTAGGCTAAAACAAGATTAGACTCGGTTACTTGGAATCTTATCCTATTTGAATTTGATCATGGTAAAAAAAATCTCAGCTACTGTAACTCCATTTGGGAAGACCTGATTGACCATCAAATCTGACAATAGAGCATGTTGGGGCAGAACGATTTTAGGCATGAGTTCAGTAAGGGAGTTACTGGGAGCTGAGTCCAAGGGACACTTAGAGGCTTACATTTTCCACTTCCTCATATTTATGTAAATAGGTCTGAAGTTCGTAAATCTTAGGCCAGTATGTTACAGACTCCAGGTAATGCTCTTTTACATTATAGTTGCTAATGAACCATATCTCTCCATCTCAACCTCCAGACAGAGAAAATTAAAAGCTTTAATAGAATACTTACTAAGTTATAAAGTTGGAGACCTTCCTTGGAGTAACAAAGTGAGTAGACAATGCTCTGAGTAGACAATGCAGTGAGTAGAGATGGAGACTTCATTTGTTATTCTGGTAGGCTCCAAGGCAGAGCTGGAATCCAAAGACAACTTCACACAGTAATGGGAGACATACTAACACGCAGGGAAGGAGGAGGAGCCTTGATAATGAAGGAAATATTTCTGCTCCCAGTATGAGTTTAGGCAGTGCCACCCTCCACCCATATTGTACCTGTCCCTAGGAGAGGTGCATGTACTATTCTAACAGGTTCTGTGATTAAATTAGTGGACATACTGGTAACTAACACAGAAGGCAGTACCTTAAAGGAAATCTGACCTGGAGACCCACATGTACCCTCGGCTATTGACCTTGGGCCTGGGGTTCATCCTCACACACGTTTTGCACACTTCCGTGGGGCCTGGGAATGCAGAACCATCCCTGACCTTCCCTCTGCAGCCCCTGGTATGCTAGCATATCACATCACTCAATTAGGGACATGCGTATGGGGCGGGAGCAGGACTGCCTTGTGCATAAGGCCCAGTGGGCACAATGCCCAAGGCTCACAGTACTTTTGGGGGTGCTTGAAAATGTTTTAATTTCTTTTAAAATCAGAAGATAAAAAAAATTTTCAATAAAAGCAAACTAATATATAATATTAATATGTTCATTTAAATTTTTTATTGAGGCTAGTGAATTAATTTTTTACATTTAAGCATAATTGGTATGCAACATTATATGAGTTATATTAGTTTTAGATGCACAGTATAGCGATTGGACATTTTTATGCCTTACCATGTTATCACTCCAGT